TATTAATCTGAATTAACAAATGTTAGTCAAAAAAAAGACAAGAAAAATTGGAGGCTAGTTTTTATACCTTCTGGATTGGAAGTCTGAATTCAAAGCAGAGATATACTAAAAGTACTAAAGATATGCTGTGAAGTCAGTACTGAGGTCTGGGTAAACTCTGTAAGCGTAGCCTGTATTAGTGTTCTAAAAGTGAGTAGATAGTTAACAATAGAGGGCCCTCTGTGTCTTACTGGCAAATGACATACTCTGAAATGTGTAATGGCCTGGAAACCAGTACAAAAAGAATAGGTAACTATACTGCTCAGATGGTATACCAGTTAGGTATATATAGGAGGTAAGTTGGGAATTCTAATATAACAGAGCAGATGATTAGAGGGTTTAAATGAATAATTTCTTAGTAGATTATAGGTACAGTATCTAGTGTAGAACCTTAGGATGGACTACTTAAATAGGCAACCAAAAGTTGCACGCATGACTAGCTGTACTCTTATTTCTGTAAAAATAGTTGTAATAGCTAACCTGATATAAAGTCAATAAAGTATTACCACAAATATAGTCTTAAAAAAAAAAAAAAAAAAGAATATGGGCTGGAGCATTATCAATTAAAAGTAGTATGTGATGATTTTGACAACACATCATTAAATTCAAGTCATTTATATAGTGGTTTCAAATAAATCTTTGTATTCAAATAGTTTTGTTCTAGTAATACTTAACAGGCAATTTTTTTTATTAATATTTTGAATTGCATATAGATTTTTATATTTATAGATGAACAATGGTTTTAATCTTTCTAATTCTGTTGCATTAGCAGTCAATAAAACTGTAACTCTATCTTTTACTTTTTTTGTTTCTGAAACTGAGCCTGTTACTAATATATAAGAAGATTCTATCCAATAATACAAACTAGTTTTATTATAGTTAAAAACATCTTCAGTCTATAAGGCTAAATAACATCTTGCAGTTTGCTTCAAAATTTAGGTAGTTTATTCAAGAAAGCACTATCTGCTTTATTTTGCTGCTTATATTTATAAATATTGTAATATAACTTAATTATATAACTATCTATTTGAAGCATTAAATTTATTCTCATTTAGTAATGATATAAATTCTTTTGCCTTATTTTGTATAAGATATTCTATTAAAGTTTGCTTATTGTCTATCACATATTCTACCCAAAGTGCAACTTCTGATTCAATATTTGTAAAAACTGATGTTTTGCTTTATTTATGAATTGCTTTATTTAAATCTGGATTAATAGATAACCAATAGTCTGACTTTGCTAAAATTTTACTATATATTAATACTCCAATACTATATTTAGCAGCAAGTTTATAATTCTTAATTCTGTGTTCATTTTTTTTTTAAAGACAAAGCATATCTTTAAGCATTAGTTAAAATAATACTTTTTTTCTTATTATTATAAGCTTTATCATTACTATTATTTTGATGCTTACTAATAGTTGCATTTATTATTTAAGATATTTTTGCAAAAAATTTTGATCAAAATTCTTTTATACTACATATCATTGTGTTACACAAAAAGTTTACTGTATTGTTAAAATTTTTGTTATATTAAAGTATTTGTTATATCAAAGTAATTTTAATATAAATGAAAAAAATCTTTATTATACAGTATAATAAAGTTTTATATTTAAAATTCATTATATTGAGACATTTTTGTAATAAAAATTTTTGGCTAAAAAAATTATCATTATAATAACTGATTCAGTTTATCAAGATTTCTTATATCGAGGTTATACTGTATATTATTTAATATACCAAATATCAATTAAATAAATATTGTTATTTAATAAATTAAAATTTTATTAGTATAATATAAATAAAAAAAATTATATTTTTTGACCTTCAAGACAAACCATAAACATTAATATATATATAATTTTTCGGGGGCTAGTTTTTATACTCCCTGGATTTATTATTCATACCCTCTATACTGTAAATTTCTGAAATCCACATAATTACATGAAATGATGATCAATATCTGAAATGTGATTGGGCAGCAGCATTATTATATGTGCTACATATATTATATATATACGTGATCAAACTAGATATTAAATGATCATATCTAACATCTATCGCTATTCTTGTATTCTCTAAATAATTGTTCTACTCTCTAGATCATCTACTCTTAATTAATGTGTACATCTTAATTAATATGTACAGGATATTGGTCTTGCTAGTTATTGTTATTAGCATTATATAGTACTGTATATATGTAATAGTTTATTTTACTTTTTTTTTTTTTTTAATATTAATGGTCATAAAAATGTTTATTAACTTGCTTTCATAAAAAAATATAGATTAGCAGATTCAAAGTTTAAATCCAAACTAAAGGGTAAGTAAACTTTATTTATACAAAAATTTAAACTAAAAAAAAACCAATTAAATATTTTTTATGTTGACTTATTTTTTATTAATGCAAGTATGAGCATTGTGCCTAGGTTGTCAGCAAATAGCACAATGTCTTACTTTGGGATCTACTAATTCGAAGCCAGAAGGATCTCTTTTAGTTGAGTTAACTTTTTGGTTATTAGGAGCTCCAGAGGGATGACCTTTGGTACAGACTATACCAGGATTTTGTAAGGCCATTGAAAGTTTATCAATAATGCTTTTTAATGTATCTTGTACAGCTAATTGCTGGAATTCTGGCCATTCTTGATATCTTCACTATAGATTTTGCAAAAGGAGTTGTAGTGGATTTTTATTATTTTCTTCAATTTGTAGTACTAGTAAGTTTCCTGGAATCCACCAATGCTTATAGATATCATTAAGCATTAGACTTTGATCATTTTTCAAATGTTAAATAAAATGTGCACAGGACAAACCCATTGTTTTTGAAAAAGACTCTGTGCATAGTAGTAAGGGCTCTTGTAGAATTGCATTTTTTGCTTTCTGATACTGATTGTTTATTTTCTTAAGTGCGAAGGTTGATACTTTACCCTTAATATTTCTATACAAAGAATTGTTAATAGCAAAGGCCAGGATACGAATACATTTTGATGCAATCATAGTATCGAGTTTTTTTTTTTGGTTGGTTGCCACTAAAGATATTGCTATGTAAACATGGTGAAGGTCTTCTTTAAACATCTGCAAGTATGCTTTTAATGTAGCATGTAAACCCTCAATACGAGATGTTACAGTTGTTCCTAAATGAAGTAATTCATTTGTTCAAGCCTTCACAAATTTTTCTTTTCATGGTACCCAGGTTTCCTGAGGATGGTGTTATAAATCAGGAGTTAAAAAATCAGTTAGTTGATTAGTTAACAACTAATCTATTGAACTTTTTAGATACCAACTAATTGATAAATTGATTAATTGACTAAACAGGAGGAAACATTGATGTTACGTGACTAATTCCACACCTGGTGTGCAGCATATAAAAAAATTATTTTACAATACCTGTTTATTGTAATAAAACAGGTAAGGGATTATAATCATAACATTACTAGCAGAATTATTTGGTATTGTAAAATAATTTTTTTATGTGCTGCAATCCAGATGTAGAATTAGTTCTGTAATATTGACAGTTATTAACTAATCGATTAGTTAAAACAATTAAAGAATTATTAATAATAACTAATTGATTAATCAGTTAATCGATTAGTTATAATTTGTCAATTAATCAATCAATTAATTGGCAAATTATATCTGATTGATTGACAAATTAATCGATTAGTTGCAAAAACTCAAATGATTTGTAACACTACCTGAAGATAGGATATTACACTAGGTTTATTACCATAAGTAGAGCAAAAATTTTCTCACTTCTCATTGAATTCATTTTCTGATTCTGTTTAAACTATATCATTCCACTTTGTGAGAAAACTTTTCCATTCACTGCCTTCTTCCATTTCTTTTAGAAACTGTAGTTTATAATTTTTTAAAATATTCTTGCTAATGTGCCATACACAAAGTAGATTTGTTGAATTAGGTAAGATCATTTCAAGAGCATTCATGAGTGCTAGTTCTTTGCCAGTCATAATAATGCTCAGTTTCTCTTCATCAAATATTCTTATAATATTTGTTAGAGCCCATTTATAATCATCCTTCTCTTCCCCTTTCATAAAAACAAAACAAGAAAAAAAGGTAGTATTGAAACTAGTTATATCTACAACATTTAATAATAGCATTTTAAATTTATTGGTTTTGTAGGTACAATTCATAAGAATTACCATAGGATATTGATAACTAAGAGATATTGAGTCATTGTGTGCAAAAAACAAATGAGTAACAGAGCTGGAATTATCAGATTTTAATTGTAAAAAAAGTCTTTTTATTGAAGTTCATCAACTAATACTTGAATAGAGTTCGGCCAGCCAGATTTTGTTGTCTAAGCTATGAATGCACATTATATATATCACTACTAGTGGCTAGTACTGACGTATCACTTTATCGAAGTGTTAATACAATTTTACAGTGATGTGAACCAGAGATAGTCATTGTTGCAACACTTTCTATTTGTTCCTTTGTTAGTCAACAGACAATAGGGTGTTCTGACATATCTTCTGAGGGACTATGATTATGTTCAGCATTATGAACTTCCAAATGCTACTGGTTATTGCATCGAGTTGCATATAATTCAAAAGGGCAATCTATTAACCTAGTGCTTTTTTTTTTATTGCTTGTTTCTTGAGTAAAATCCAGAGAGTTATTATAAATACCACCTTGGTTACAACATATTGTCATATTTTTTAATTCACTATGCTCATCTTTCCAGGTTCTTTTTTTAACTAGAGCATAACTCTGAGAATTTGCGAATTTTTGTGCATTTTGAAAATGTTCATCAACAGTGTTGTATATTTCAGAAGGAAGTGGAAGTATATTTACTTTAACTGATTATTCAATGAGTTTGTACTTTAATTTAATTCATGTAGGTTTAATTTAAGAATAATTACGACGATATGGAGAAAGTTCACAAGATTACAAAAAATGAAAGTCACAAAAAATAAAGTCAAAAATTTCACAGTTTATTGTAAATTTAGAGAGCTTTTTAAAAACAAAGACAAGATTACTTTATTAAGTTCTTTTGCTTCCAAACTCTTTTTATATTTTATAAAAATTTTTTAATGCTTAACAATTTAATCTACACTTTTCTTTGATTTCAGGCTATGTAATAAAGTTTTTTTACTTTACCTTCCTTTTTCTAATTTGATGCATTTTACAATCATATCTTTTTCATGAAAATTTTCACAATCTATTTCAAAGCCATGCACTACATCCCTTTAGGATTCATTACATCATGTTTTTTCAAAATTCTCTCTAAAAGAGTATAAGATTCGGCTTTGAATATGTTAGAGTAATATTTGTGAAAGTGGTTAATAAAATTTAATGAACACTTTCATGTGTATTTCCATGATCTGCCACATCTTATATCTTTTTAAGATTTATTGCTATTAACTTTTTTTTTTAAATTCTTCGCAATTTCATGAACACCATCATAATAGTGCATATTATACCCTTTTAAGATAACTACTAATTAAAACTATTTAATTCATTGTTTAGAGCTACAACTCTTTTTAGAATTATTTCCATACACACTTATAATTTTATTAATCATATTAACTATTTCAAGTATATTGTTATAGTTATTTCAAAACTATGCCCTATACTATATTGAGATTTTATTTCCTTATTTGATTAGTAAATTTGGATTTGATGATTATTATTTATACTAAGTTATGATAGATTGCGCACAGCAAAATACAACTATTATAGCCAAATAATTTCTTGTTATCTGGCATAATTTGATGAATACACTTATAGAAAGAATTTTAAGAATTTGTCACATGATTTTAATAAAAATATGTGGAAATAATGTAGAATTTTTTCTATCAGTTATTACATAGTACCGCCAAATAATACTTGTTACAGATGATCATAAAATCGGATGATGAAATTTGGATTTATTTTATTGTTAGCTTTTTTTTTTAATAGTTAACTTAGGGTTTAAGGTTAGAGTTATTAATATAAATATATAGGTGGATTTTGATAAGACTTATATTTTCAAATTGAAACCCCAAATTTTATTATCATCTGATTTCACAATTATCTGTGACAATACTTTATTGTATGATTTTCATGAATTACTTCTAATTTATGATACACAAATTTGTTAACCCATCATATGTGAGTGAAACTTGTTATTACATATTAGAAATGACCCAAGATACAAAAAATAATTAGGCACTAGTAAATAATCAGTTGTTACATAGCCAATAACCAGTATATATTATTTTTGATTGGTACTATATTTTCACGTAATAATGCTTACCTGCACATTATTTCGAGTACACACATATGTGTTATTTTGGGCTAAAGACTTGGTTATCTGATATATGAAAACATTGATTCAAACATGCATGTTATTTTAGGATACACATGGGTATCATATACTTCTTATTTTTGGATGATATGATTGAAATAACATGAGTAGTATTATGCGAAAATACAGTATATAATTTTTATAAATGGAATAGCAAAATTAGTATTCAAAACTTTTATCACTATATTGAAAAAAAAATGTTCAGCCAAGAAAAAAGTAAAAATAAAAAAATAAGTAGATGTTCATATATAGCACAAATTTTAATTGTAAAACATTTAATAAAGAGTATTATTTCTGTTTTGACAAAAAAAATCACATAAAAAACTATCAGTCAAAGCATGATTTTTTGGTTTGAGTATTTTCTTTTTTGTATGTTTATCTACATACATAGATGTTTAATAATATATACAATGTTACTGCTCAATCATATTTCAGATATCGATCATCATTTCATGTAATCACATAGATTTCAGAAATTTATAATATAGGGGGTACGAATAATAAATCCAGAAGGTATAAAAACTAGCCTCCAATTTTTCTTGTCTTTTTTTTGACTAACATTTGTTAATTCAGATTAATA